ATACACCTGCTTAGGGATATTTAAACAAATTATAGTACAAAGAATTTGATTTGTTTCCCCCTTCCATACTATCCCAAACCTTCCTCCACCCACACCTACCTCTGAAAACAAGAAAAGAAGATTGAGGAAAAGAAACAATGAATGTGATGCCATGGTCATAGGACAGGTACATGCTTGAATATCCAGTCACATCAAGATATAGGAGAATAATGAGAAGAAAAATACAGAGTCAGCACACTCGAAATATCTAATATTGGCGGGGCTGACAGCATGGCCACTGCCCAGAAGATTATCTAATCTATTTATACAGCCACAAAATCGTTGGAGAGACAACTGCATACCATAAGAAGAATGATGATTGATCATAGAAGTGCCTGGCGTCTACCACTAGGTAACAAATAACATCAAGAATTAGCATACAGGACTAATATTAAGAGCATACAAAGAAAAAAAATTAATGAACAAAGAGACCAAGCATAAAGTGTGCATGCCCAGAATTATAAATGAAGCTTTTTGAGGTCAGAATAGAGGACATTTTTTTTAGCAGTCAAAGCGGCAAAGAAGATGTCTAAATGAATCCAAGTCAACTATTGTCATCGCAGTAAGTTATGAATTACAAAATCAAGAAGAAAAGATTGATGCATAGCAAAGGTAAGTTCATACTTGTGGTAAGCTGAAGGCTGTGCTATTGTCGCCCATTACAGCTAATGAATCTCGAATCTGATTCACCTGATACAGTATAATGAACCACAACAAATAAAATATATCTAGTTATGCAAGCATCTTTATAATTTGCAGAATGCAGTAGATAAAAGTACCTTATCAATATTTCTATCACCTGCAGAAACATAAAGATAAAACCACAGTTAACCTTTCATTAGAGGCTGCCTTCATTAGACTAATGTTATTTACTTACATTCAAATAAACATAAGTAAACCTACCATCACTATTGGGGACTCGTCGCAGAGCTTCGTTGACCATTTCTTGCACAGACTTTCCTTCTGTTATGTAGTAAAAGCTTAGACAGATTACATGAGAAGGAATACAAGACCGACAAAAGGCACCTTCAGTGCGACTCAGAAGAAAAATGACCATACTGCAACAGATGTACCATGCAACTGAATACAATTATATTACCCTAGACATATGTTTAAAGCTGTATTCCTTAAACACACGGCATTCACATTTATTAAAATGCAGTTATGGACATATATGGCATTTTTTTCTCGACTTACGTAGAAAATCATGCTGGATAAGCCATAGGAGTTTTGCAGGTTCGAAAGCAATGTCTTGCCCCTACACAACATCCACCACATAAGCATGCCACTTATCTTGTTAAGAATCTGTTTCTTCCTTTCTTTCCTTGACCCTTTTGTTGAGGTGAAAGATTAATCAAAGATAGATGCTTACCTTCACTCTGGAGAGTGATGAACATCGATGAAGCAACAGAGTCAAAAAATAAAAGAGGCCGTGAATAACTTAGAAACCAAAGAAGTCATACATGAGACTAAAACTTTTGAAACAATTGGTTAGAAATTGGACCTTCCATAGAACTCTTCAGCAAGTTCATGTGCAAATGAAAGTCGGGATATGTCAGCTTCACGGATCTAAAACATAAAACAAATGCATAAAACACCATTAAGGAAGTCGATCTTTCTTGTACGCCAAGAGGCTAGTATATAAGCTGCCGCCCATAGAGTCACAACCTGGAGCATATTAAGATACCAATATTCAATCTATATATTAGACATGCATGAATATGTGGAGCAAGAACTGCCTTTAGTACAATCTTGTTCTGTTAACTTTGCACGTGCTGGCCTCTCACGTGGATTATACAAATGACAGAATAAAGCATTTGCACAATAGTAGCAGGTATGATTTTGAATCAGCTAAGATACTCTTTATAATAAAGCAATACATATCTGACTCAACCACTTTATATATTGCTAAATGCAACAGAGCTTGAAGGAGACTCTAGATTAAACTAATTCTATTCATCAACCGTTCTCAGCAGAGAAATACTCACATTTCTATTCATGATCTATTAGTCCTTCTTAATTATTGCTCTTGTCAATACCTCACAAGAATTACTCTACCATAAGAGAAAGCCTGATTCAAGGAACTTAAATATAGTAGTGACATGTTTAGCATACACACTCGCAAATGAAGAGAGTGAAAGTCATAGACAGAGTAACAAACCGTCTCAGGTAGATTATATATAAGCACGGAACTCAGAACAGTTGCAAGGGCAAAAATCCTGCATAACAAAGAACAAAGAAACATGCTTAGTCACACATTATTGTACAAATGTTATCTCACAGGACTTCAATATTACCGATCATCATATACGTTTGACTTTCCAATACTTTCAAAACCTTCAGTGTCAAGGTAGAAAACAGAAGTTTTTACTCCATTGATGTCCAACTCTATTGGATTACCCCAAACCCATATCCCTGGAAGAAGAGGGAAACGTCATGTTAAATAATGTCTACATCTCCCTAGTACAGACAGCACCCAGCAAAATCTTGCATACACACCTTTTGTCTTAGTATCGCGCATATGCCCAACACCAAAACCTATTAACATAGAGCTCGAAAAATCAGTTGCATATGAAAATGCACGGTAACCTTAAGCTTCCAAATTAGCAGCAACCTAACAAGTAAAAACACAATTGTGAACTTAAATAGCAAGTCTTGAGGATCCACCTTCATTACAGGAAAAGGAAAGAAGCTGATTAAGGAGGAATGATTTTCCCGAACGATATGGACCAATTACCTGGTCAAATTTGCAGCAACAATGTTATAATACAAAAAAGATAGGTGCAACAGGAAATTTAGATAACAAGAACAGATGTTTAACAAATGCTTCAGCGTAAACATATTGAGCCAGTGCAAAACTTATTCAATAACTCAATTCACCAAATAATATCAAGGTGACTCCAATTTCAAGGCTCTTTTGGTCACATAATAGTTTTATTTTGGTTCAAAAACCAAGAGATTAATGCAAAACTTACAGCAACAGCTGCAATGGGTGTTGTTATCTTCTCTATTGCCTCTAGTCCTTCTCTTGAAAGGCGAAGTTTCGTGTGACCGGTATCAGGCTCTACAATAGGAAACCTGTCAAATATAACCATAGCAATATCTAGAAACATCAGAAAGGCATGGAGCAACAACACAAAGATAGCACAAGTAACAGTCCCAATATGTACAAAATAAGAAAACACTGAAACCATACAAAGTAAAGTTTAATGAAACAACATCAACAGTTCAACTAAGCCACAAAATGCCATAATCTAATCAAAAGTTGAAGCCATTCCTGCTCAATTAACATTATTGGTCCACACTACATAGCTTTTCAATAGTAAAATAGCTTCTTTTTTGGGATAAATTTCAATTATATAACTCTTTATCATTCTAATATGATACCAGAGGCGGAGCCATGATTTGAAGTTTATGGGTTCGGGGTTCTAATCCTTTCAAGTTAATGAGTTCTAAATTAATAATTTATACATATTTAATAGATTTTTTAAGACAAATACATGGATTGGACCAAAGTGACTGGGTTCGGCCGAACCCATACTCAATGGGCTAGCTCCGCCCCTGTATGATACCTCAAAAAAGCAATAATTTAAGTTATATACACTGACAATATAAAGTAGTGAATTTAACGTGTGATAGCAGGTCAATTATATTACTATGTTTATCGGAAATTTACTTGTAATTACCTAGTAATTGACCTGATTGTGTAGCTATATTTTACGCCGCGGATACACAAAACTTAAACTCTATCTGAAATGCTGGTAACAAGACTATAAGGCAACTGTGAAGTGTACCATTCAAATATCATGGAACGAACTATTGCTCTAGTGGTAAGTACCCTCCACTTCCAACCTCTCTTCCAACCAAGAGGTTGTGAGTTCGAGTCATCCCAAGAGCAAGGTGGGGAGTTATTGGAGGGAGGGAGCCGATGTCTATTGGAAACAGCTTCTCTACCCAGGTAGGGGTAATGTCTGCGTAACACTACCCTCGCCAGACCCTGGTATTATACTGGGTTGTTGTTGTTGTTGTTGAACTACATTACTAATGCCATTCCAAGATTATAAACAAAGCAAAAATTCAAAGTCAAAGAAGTAAACTTTAAGATGCATGCACAAAAGTGTATGTAAAAAATTCAGTAAAAAGGCTTACGCTTGATGAAAATTATCAATAGAAAAGGACCCAGATGCAAGAAAACAGAAAATGAAGGAGAAAAAACTGATTTGATAAAAAAGCTTCATTCTTGATCTTGGGTATTACTTGTTATCTTGCAAATGCCTTAAAGGTACAAGTTGAGCATTTAAGGACAAAATGAAGAAAAAAAGAACAACTTTTGTTTTGAAATGTTTTGATAAAGGGAAGCGTGTGATCTTAAGAAAAAAGGAGAAGCCATGTCCGAGGGTGCAGGTTAAGGATCGTGGCCTGTTTTTTGTTTAAGAAAATGCCTGTATTTTGAGGTTTCAGAAAACAGCAGGTGAGCTCAAAGTAGGAGATTCTTGCCGCCCAAATTAGGAAAGTAAGAGAGTGAGAGAGAAGAAATCTTAGTAAGGATTTGGGATGACTTTGCTTCTAAGTTCGTTAATCTGCAGCTTTATTTATCTTCTATTTTTTCCATTAGCTTTATTTTATCTTAGAGCTTAAAAGGTCAACCCTTAATTTTACTTTGAACTATATTCCACCCATTGCACTTTATGTAAATTTATTTGACGCTTTTAAAATAGTAAGTAAAACTTCTGCAATCTGATTTGAAGCATGATATTTGTGCAACTATAAAATATATTATAAAAACATAAAAAGAGGAATTTAATATTATTTTTAAATATGAAAAGAATCATTATTTATTTGAAAACTAAAAAGGGATTGTGACATAAAATAAAACAGAAGTAATAACTGTTCAATTATCATTTCCAGAGCAGATTTGGAAGTTCACACTGAAAATATTACTATTACTTAGTAGTAATAATAATGAGGTACAACCGTACAAGGTTAACTGATATCGTCGAATATATCGTCTCTTATATATATCCTATTCCTTAATACACTTCAAAATAGTGACACAGAGTTAGATAGCATAAAGACATTTAATGGAACTAGAATAAAATCAAAGTGTAAAGCTTTTAAAGTGAAATTGAAAAATGCATTTTATTTATAAAGTCAAGTAGACTTTGGTGGTTCAAAATAGTCATAGAATGGTACAGTGCTGTCCAAGTGGTGCTACTTTGGCAACGATGAATCGAAATTGATATCAAATTGCACGTTTGGCTAAGATATTTAGCTAAGATGGAGTTGCAATTATACCCTCCAATCGTCCAGGTCAACAGATATTAATTCAAGCAAGTACGAGTTCCTCCACGATGTCCATATTCATGGAGCAAGTTTTTATAAATCCATTTTCCTAGAAGAAGATGATGATGGCCTAATTGAAGTTTCAATAATCAAATATCTCTTACTCTTAGTTGCAGCCACCAATGCCATAGAAACCACCCTTACTTCACTAGGTCCCTTAGTCCTTCCCTTATCGGAAAATTTTATTTTCTTGAAAAATCTTGTTATGAGACGATTGTTTGGGGTTGAAAATGTTATATNATATATATATATATATATATATATGTATGTACCAAATTTCAAATTTTCTATTGATCATTATATTTCTTCCCCACAAGTGGGAGGGTTAGCAGTACTGAATCAACAGAAAAAACTTTGGATTTAGAGATGTGGAAATGGAAACTTGAAAAATTACATTGAAACGATTAGGGAATACTTCAAGTAGCTCAATTTGATATGAATTGGCTTATTCAGAGGCCAAGAGGAGAGAATCAAGAAAGGTGATAAAATTTGGAAAATGGCTTTGGGCTCGGGTTTCAAATGTATCAGTGTGATTTGGCTTACCACAAAGGATGTTGATGGAAATGACGTGAAAAATGCATGGAATGAAGAGAGGGAAGCTCTTGATCTCAACTTGGACAACATTGAAGCATCCTATGACTATTTTGAACCACCTAATAGCCTGTTTTGCCAGTTTTTTTTTGGGCCAAAAGTATTTTTTCCCCAAAAAATAAGGTGTTTGACCAAACTTTTAGGAAGAGAAAAAAATGATTTTGAGGAGAATTTGAAAAAATTACCTTTTTCTCCTAAAACACTTTTGAAAAAAATACACTTAGAAGCGGTTTTTAAAAATTTGGCCAAATACTAATTACTGCTCAAAATTACTTTTTAAATTAATTAGCCAAACACCAACTGCTTATCACAAAAAACACTTGTTAAAATAGGTTGATTTTAAAAACTCGACCAAACTGGCTATAAGTCAACTTGATTTTGATCATAGTGTATTTTTCAATTAACGGTTATGAGCTTTGTTTGGGCTGCCGTTTGAGTATTAAATAGTTTTATAATTATTAATTTGCAACGTACCTACTTGCTTTAACTTTAAATGATTACAACTCATCCTACATTACTTAGGTAGGTGGCTGAAACTTTTAGTCCACCATATTTTCCTTGTATATGTATAGATAATATATTTTTTCAAAACAACTATATCAATTATATCGAAAAATATATGAAGTATAATTAATTTGGAAAAAAAACTTTAAAATATTTACAACCCAGAATTAAACCACCTAAAAGTCGACTTTATAACAATACACCAGACTTTTCGAAAATTCTACGTATGTTGCTGTGTAGATCATTATCCACATTTTTGATTTCTGCCTATCAATGGNTATATTATATATCCGTCGATTATTTTAATTTAAAAAATTATGTGGGTGGTTATTAAGGTTAATTTTTCCTAACTCAAGTGAACCGCAACTTTGGTTTGGGCCTTGGTTGTCAGGTAGATCGGGTTTACAAGAGTTTAGTGGCCCAATCAATTGAGGGTAAACTGGTAATTCAACGAAAATTCGAAATTAAAAGAAAGTCAAAATTTCCGAATTCCCTCCAAAACAAACCGCCAAAGTTACTTTGGATCCTTTTCAAGACAGATAAACAAGAACTGGGGCAGTAAATCAAACAGTTAAGCTGCATTTCAGATCTACAGTGGAAAAAAGGTACTCTCCTCTGCTAAAGGCAGATCTACAATTTTAAGTCGTTCTCTGTAGAATATTACTTTATTCACTTCTGGTTTATGCCAACATATGCGGATTTAGTGTGTATGTGTGTGTAATTGTTCAAAACTATAGAGTTTAACCAGAATTTTTAGAAACAGCAAAGAAGCCAATTATATAATAGTTGCTTTTTGTTCCCTTGTAAGATTTGAAAGCCAAAGCAAAACACTAACTTTTCCTCTTTTTTGTTTTGTTTTCTGAGCAGTGGAGTTTTGAAGCTAAGGAAAAATGGCAGGAAAAGGAGGGAAAGGGCTAGTAGCGGGGAAGACAACAGCTGCAGCGGCTGCTAACAAAGACAAAGACAAGAAAAAGCAGCCTATCTCTCGTTCTTCTCGTGCTGGCCTCCAGGTAAATACATAGTTTTACTTAGTTAAGAGCAGATCTTGTCTGATTTTTATAGGATTTGAAATTGCTGTTGGAAGTATTTGTATATTGAGGTTAATGAACAGCTGTAAAGTTAAAAAAAAATAAAATAAAAATTCTGAAGTCTTGCATGGTTCTATGGAGGTTTTTACTTTTTAGAATTGCTTTCAAATTCATAGTTTGGCTGCTTGTTCTATTCCATTGTGTATGCAACATTTATATATAGTCTCCTAAAATAGTGGTGGATCCAAGATTTAAACTTGACGTGTTTAACCTTAGGTTCAAATGTTGATATTTAGTTGAGATTTTAATAGTTTATCACTTGTATATTTATGCTCCATGTCAAAAGTATTGGGTTTGGTTGAACCTGTAGCAAATAAACTCCATCTGCCACTGTCCTCAAGTTAGGTAGTTCTCTGTTTAGAAAACACTATAGTATCAAGAAATTTCATGCTTTTGGACTGCCATTGTTTTCTTATCTTTGTTATGATGGACTTTAACTTTTAAAGCATGTGGGATACAGTGCCTAAAATGATGTTGGATTCTAAGTGGTGTCTTTTAGCAGTTTTTGATCTCTTCAAATATAATCTTTTTCTTTCTTTCTATAAGCATATGAAGTGTTGAGCATACCTCTCTAAATTGCTTTGATGAAATATCTGAAGATTAGCTTGTCAAAATCTTGGTATCAACATTATATAATTGCAACAAGGCACTTAGTCACTTACCATAAAAATGATCTATCATTCTAAATACTGTGGCATAGGATGTGTCTGTTACCGACATGTGACATTCTGAAAGTGCACACATGAAAAACTAACTGGGATGCTATCTTACCTTTTTGACATATTGAAAATTTGGGTATGTTGAATTTGTAGAAGGGGTGTAGCATCATTTTTTGATAATTTGGTTCTAAATAGTTCAGAACATTAAAATCCTTTTGGCAAAATAGAAGAAATCTGATATGTTGACAAGAAAAGGCCAGTTTCTTGTAACATCTCATGCAGGCCTGCAGGTAATACATAATTTTACCTTACTTTAGAGCAGATGTTGCTTGATTTCTATAGGATTTGAAACAACTACTGTAAGTGTTTTATCTCTTTTTATCCACCCAAATTCTGAATATACAACAATTACGTGGTTCCAAGGAGATTGAAGAATTGCTTTTCAGTTTCATACCAACTGCTTGTTCTGTTCCATTTTGTACATGTTTTTTTTTCCCTGGTTCGCAAAAGTTAGGAAGCTCTCTGTTCAGAACCAGCTATGGTATCAAGAAATTTGATGCTTTTGGAGTGCAAGTTTTTTCCTATCTTTCTTTTGGTGGAAGTTAACTTTTAAATAATGTGGGATGCAAGTCTATTTATATGTTGGATTCTATGTTTGCTGTTTAGCAGTCTTTGTTTTATCTTTACAAATCTAATCCTTTAGTTTCTTCCAATAAGCATACTGAGGTGATGAGTTAACTGGTCTAAATTGAGTATCCAAAGATCAGCATACTAAAATCATAAACTTTGCATCAAAATTCTATAATTGCAAGAACGTGACTTATCATAAAAGTTCTATCATTCCAAATACTGTGGGGTAGAATGATGTGACACCGAAAGTGCACACATGAAAAATTAATGGGATGCTATCTTACTCTTTTGTGATCTTGAAGCCTTGGGTATGTTGAATATGTAAAGGAGGCGTGGTATCAATTTTGATCTATATAGTTCTGAACATTAAGACCCTTCATAGGGGAAGCTTTGTGCATTGGGCTGCCCTTATAGCTTTGATCA